AAGTTCACCCAGACACCCTGTGCATACCCTGCTTGTATCGATGACACTTGTGCTCGCTAAGGACTAGGGGGACCTGAACCAGGAAAAATCCTCATCAATCAGTTCTTCCACTATGAATCGCACTTAGAAGGTATTCACTGACCGTTTTCTGTGGTTTTGGCTGCTTTAAAAGTTTTTTTTTTTTTTTTTTTTTTATTGCCCAGCTTTATACCAACTTAGTTTGAATTTGTAAACATTTGGTAGATGATCATAAAAGGGCATTATAAAAGCCCAGGCGCAGTATGGATTAAAAGAACAGACACATCTATGTGCCTGATAACAGCAGAAGACTTTTGGCAGAAATCGGGGTTCTCAGATTTCCATATCCAGACAACTCTTTTTTTTGTGTCCTGTTGGTGGCTTAAGTTATTGGCTATTGCAAAACTGCTGTTTCTTAGCTGTTGCATCACAGAGGAGGAAGCAGAAATTACTCAGTACCGATGCTCCTCATTGCTGTTTAGGAGGCTGCAGCGTCTAGCAGTGCTCGGTGACAGAAGCAGCTATGCTCGCCCCCGGGATGTGCGGGACAGGCTGGGCTTGTGTCACTTAGCAGCAAGCCGCCTGCTTCCAGGAGTGGTATGGACAGGCTCTAAAGTACATACGGCCTGGTGCTGGAGGGCGACTGCATCGTGGGACGCCGGGGCGAGGAACGGCTGGATTGTGACGTGGAGCCCTATGGAGAGGAGGGGTCTCCTCAAGATTTTATCTAGGAAGCGGCCGCAAGGCAAATACAGACTGAGAGGCAAGCAAACTCCTTCTTTCGGCTCTGCAACCTACTCGTGCGTCCTGCTCTGGGGAGGGTCTGTTGGTTGGGGTCAGCAAATGTTAGAAGTGGAAACGATGTCCCAATTTCTGTGTGGACTGTCCTTTTGAAGGCTGTAGGACTTACTTCTGCTTGGTTTTGATAAGCTATGTCCATAGCGTGTGAGCAAGAGAGAGAGTCTCTCCCCGGGGAATCAATGCTGCTTTGTTTCTGTCTCCTTTTCTCAGGGTTTTGAATGGCTTACAAGGCTTGGTTTTAAAGCCTCATGCAAGGTGCTCTGTCTTCCGGGGTCAAACTTGCGCTTCTGCTCAGGAACCTGATCTAGTGCCTTTCTTTGGGGGGCCTTTCCTCTGCGCAGCGTCAGCACGGCATGTGTAGCAGGGGAAGGACTGGAGGCTGTGGCATGTGGGAAGGGAACCGTTGGGTCTTGCTGTGCAGAGAAGCACTGCAAGCTTTTACCACCTGGGGAAACACTTGAGACCTCTGGATCTTGAGAGATGGACTTTCCTCTTCCCTCCCCCCCACTTCTCAGGTGCTACTGTTGAGCTATTTCACTTGTTCAGCATCTTATCCTGCAGGGATTATTCCAGGTGTGCTGAACCAAGGTGAGGAGCACTCTTGGCTCCCAGTGAAATCTGTTTTGCAGGCCAGATGAGGCTTAATAGAAATACCACCTCTGCAAATATGTGTGCTGGCCTTCTTACTTATCCAGTGCCCCAAAACCCCCAGGTTTCCAGAGGTATGCAGACACTTCTGGGGAGGAGGACAGCCTCAGGTGGTATACAGCATGGCTTTTTTCTTTAATCCTACTTCTCTTCTTGGAGATCCTATAGCAAGCACATTCACCAAGCAGCTGTGTAAAAGTTGCTCTCAACTCAGTATTTAAATGCTAATTGCTATACTAACAAAGAGTTGCACACAAATAGACTGTTGGATTTGGTTTAGAGTATCCACTGTGCAAGGACGAAGGAAGTCCTACCACGTTTTAGACTTATGGTTGTCTAGATCCAGCATATTGGAGGCCTCTTTATGTAGCCAGACAATCTTTAGTATCTTGTACTCCGAGGTATGGAGAAGGGCTCTAAAATGCCGCTGAAAGAAGTCTTCTCTCAGCTAAGCTGGCAAATCTGCCCCTTTGGTATCTGTGTTTCTGGCTCAAATCTTTGTGCTAATAAGTGCCAATTTACACCTTTTAACCTGGGTAGCCCTTACTAAGGACAGATGTGTCCTGATGGAAGCTGGGCCCTAGAGTACTGGTGACTTTTTTTTTGTTGTTGTTGTTCATTTTTTCACTTTGCTTTTTTGAACCTAGTCATCTGAAAGGTGGGGGGAGGAACTCCACCTTCTTTACCCTTGCCCATGTCCTTCCTAACTCCCCTTGTACCTGTGTTCATGTCTCTTGCTCATGTTAACTTGCTGAGCTAAGACTAAATCTCCTGCACAGATTATCTAAGTACAGATTTCACCGTCCAGGTAAAAATTCAGCTTGCAGCTTCCATCACGGACCCCACGACCTGGTGGCATTCTGCCCTTGTCAGATCAAATGACTTTTCGCGTGCGGGCTGCTCCGGCACATAAACGTTCATCATTTGACTCTGCAGGCGCACAGGCAGATCCGTCTCTGCGATGACTTCTGGTTCTGATCGGAGAGCCTGCAGGTGAAAGAGTGCCTGCCTGCCTGCGGAGAGGAAATTGGGGTGCGGGAAGTAAGCGCTGATGCAGTGTGTTCTGCAGATAAACTGCTGCTTTTCATTTCCAGAGCATTTATGGGAATTAAGCCCTTTTCAAAAATAAAAATAAAAATGCACATGTGTATTTTGAAGTGGATGTGATACCAGGTGAGTAAAGGTTGTATCGTTCTCGTTTTGACTGAGATTGTCTCGCTCTTTTAATGCTATTGTGAGCCAACTGGAAAGTAAGGAGGATTTCTCTTTTTGTTTGTTTTTTTTTTTTTAGCTCCATGTTTTTTAAGATTGGCCTCTGACTTTGCACGCTGTATGCTGTTTGTGTAGGTGACACATGGAAGAGGTTTTCTGATTAGTTTTCTAAATTGTCTGAAGTCTGGGCTGGAGGGAGGCAATCTGATAGCATTCAGTGTCAGGAAAAGACTGGACTAATTGCCTCTGTTTCCCCACACTCTGTCAAATGACAGGCCTAATGAATGAGGCACTGGTTACCTGCCAAAGGAAAATCTCAGGGCAAATTCTTTCGGTCTGTAGAATCCATTTACATTTTTCAGCCTGAACAAAGGTAGACGAGCAAACCCAGCATGTATGGTGTGGATTGGGATAACAATAAGAGCCTTTGCTGGTAGGGGTCTAGGTTGTAGTTGCGTTGGTCTAAGGACATGGGCATATCAGACTTGCCCAAAGAACCTTGTCTCTCTTATCAGATCAAGTCAGAGTCGGAAGAAGTCGTCTTTGCAAGCTTTCAGGTACAAATGCCGTTCTCCAGGCTGAGGAAGCTTCTGCAGTTGGGCTGTGCTCTGATGGGTCTCATCTGTGGAACAGAAAAGTACCGTGGTTTAGTGTCTTGAACGACAATTTGTGGAAAGCCCAGGCGCTATTCCTGCTGCTTCCACTGACTTTGGGCATATCACTTTGCCATTGCCCTTCTTGTCTCTCTAGGCTGTGACGGGAACTCTCTTCTCAGCATCAGCAAGAAATGCTGGTGCCCCAGTCGGTGGCGTGTAGGCAAGGCTGTAAATCACTTAGTGTCTGCAAATGGATTGTGTGTTTGGCGGTTCTGAATAGCAATTCTGGATGCCTTTTATGTCAGAACAGGAATCTGTATTTAAAAAAAAAATCCCTGTTAGAACATAAACTTGTGAAGAAAACTACCAGCTTCCAAAATGCTTTCGTAGCACTTCTGTTTGCAGTCTCCCAGCAGAAGTGTGTTTGGAGATGGGGTGGCCTGGTACACACTGTTTATGCTATGCCTGAGTGATGAGTGAAGGGCATCCCCGCGTTTGCCGCAGCTTGCTGTACAGCAGATCGTCCTGCCTCCATCTCTGGCTGTGCAAAATGCCTGGCTTGCCGCTTCACATTAAAGGAGACTTGCAAAGCCCTAAAAAAGCCATGGGGTGCGTGTCTGAGTGGCGGGGTGCTGGGGGGGCGGGGAAGTTGTTGTCAGGAAGAAGTGTGTGTAATATTACAGGCATATCTTTTTTTTTTTCCCCCCCACCCCCCTGGTTCCTGTCCTAAAACACAGATTCCCTCCTATACAGTTCCTGACAGCTGAAAACTGCAGGGTGGGGGGTGAACGAAATGAAGTAACTTGAGCGTTTTCACACTGGCTCACGAGCCTCCCCAAAAACACTGAAGGGGAAGGAGATGGTAGAAATCTCCTGGTTTTTGCTGTGCATTTTTTCTCTGAGGCTGCATTGCTCTTAAGTCGAGGGCTTTTTTTTTTTTTTTCCCCCCCTAGACGGGAATGCAGCACTCTTGGAAAAGGCAGTGGGAAGGGGGGGCCGTGTTTAGTAGGAATCTGGCACTGTAACTTCTCTTCTGGTTCAAGTAAACAGTCTCGCCGCCCTCCCCTCGTTCCCTTCCTCCACCCCCACCTCCTTTTTCTTTTCTTTTTTTTTCCCCCTTCAATCCTGCTCATGTGTTTCTATTTAAGGGCTGCAGTGCAGACGGATACGATTGGTGTCCACAACCCCCTCTTGACTTTCAGCTTCAGCTTTTAAGACCAGAGAAGGAGCTGATCCTCCGAAGGGAGAGACGATTGTTTTTTCTGTCTGTTTGCTGGGACGTAGCTCTGCCTCCGGATTTGATGCTGCTTCTGCCCGGGATTTTTTTTCTCTCTCTGAATGGGGACAAAGCTTGTGGAAACCATGTTGGGAAGAGGCTTATTTTCAGACTCTGTCCTGACGCACTGTGATTTGTTCGCTATGTTTTAAGCTTTTTTTTTTTTTTTTTTTTTTTTATTTTTTTTTTTTT